AGAATCACATGCCGAGCACACACGCGTCATTACCATGCCTTCTTTCAAGGGGTACAACAGTATTATTGCGTGCACGGGTTGCTGGATCTGTCAGCGGGGGAGGTGATGTGCAGAAGAAGAAAAAAAAAATTTGCTATGCGGAAAGTTATGCTGCAGGGGGATTGCAAAATTGCGGCTTCCTCCGCATCGAAGAAATGTGTACATGCTCTAAAATTCCTAAGTGCAATAGGTATTTTCCTTCCCCACGCTGCGAATGGAAGCCAGCAATATCATGGCATAGGGAGGCAGCCATATGATGGCACAGGAAGTCTGTCTACCATATCTAAGAGCTCCGCATCAAACCCGTAGATGTCCTGAAACGCCAACTTTGTCTGTCCAAGTTTGCAAGAATACAGATACAGCGACTCCGGGTTGGATTCGAGAGGAACCCAAATATTGTTGCGTAGCATTTTGGCAGGTGGAACAGATATTGTGTGGAGAAGGGATTGTATATACCGTGCGGTATTTTACGGAGAGGGGTACTGGCGTTGTTCTTCACGTTTGCGCCTCCCTTGTGTTGGTTTATATATATGGACCCTTTTGTGATTACACTGTGGTAGCCTTATTATGGGACACAAATTTGTTTTCTCTTCATTGAGAAGGTGTGAAATATGTGTACATAGAAGAAGGCGGCGTTTCAAGAGGGCATTATTGTTTTATTTTTTTATTTCATAGATATATATATATTTTTTTTTTTTTTATTCTCCGCGCTTTCTCAATTTGTTAACCCCTCGGGACAGCATAGCCAAATTGGCTGCACAAATGAACAGAGTGAAAAGGTCGCGAACGAGCAACGTACTTGGAAAAAACTTTAATTAACAGGTTGGGAATATGTGGTACACGGATTAAACACATTCAGCTGAAGCTTCTTTTTATTCCTATTTCTTTTTCTTTTTTGGGTTTTTTTTTTCTTTTCTTGCTTTGTTTTTCTTTTTTTTTCCAAATTTCTCGATAGGTGATGGTGACACGGGAACCCGGAAGAGGGGATTAAAATGCAGGGCGGGAAAAGAAGAGGGGGCAATAGGATGCGAAGCGTTTTCAAAGGCAAGAAAATTTGCCCTATAGTATTTTGCGCCGCCAGTCCGCAACGATGCATATTATGTAAATATATTGAAGGGGAAGAAAAGATATGAAGCATACTCTACTCTGCAAGTATAACACCATTCGCTTATGCGTACAAAACGGTTAGCACCCTTTTTATTAAGACGACGAATAGGCCCCAATTACATCTTTGAAAAAAAAAAAATAAAATAAAAAATAAAGTAAAATTAAAATAAAATACCTCATAGGAAAAACTTATTAAAAAAGTTACCACTCTTTTGCTCACCCACACGGTCGTATTTTCACCATTACGACCAATTTTAAATAAGAGAAATTACATTTGGCAGGGAATATATAGTTCTTCCAACATTTTTTCCCCTTTTAACGAGCAAGTGTTTTTTTCTTTTTTTTACAAAATTACCGCTAAGTGTTACATAACTGTACCACGTCAGCATATCTACGTTAAGTCAAGGAAGGAAAAAAAAAACGGCAACATGGCCAAGTCAAAGAACCACACGAATCATAACCAAGTAAGTTTGGGGCTACGTCAAATAGCCCCTTGGAGGGCATCTTTCACAGCGCTGCTCCGCGACGAATTCGCGGCTGTTTTATGTTCATTCGTCTCTTTCTGTTGCTCCTCACTCGTTTGGACTGTTCAGCAGTTTCTTGCAGCACGCTGTTTTTGCTCCTTCTCTAGATAGCATATTGTGCAGTTCTGCTTTCTCCGACGTGGGGTTGACGTACTTTATGTGGTCATCTTGTGTACATATCGCTCATTGACCTCATTTGCATCACCTCATTTGACTCCCACCCCTCTCTTTTCCACCCGCAGAATAGGAAGGCACACAAAAATGGAATTAAGAAACCGAAGAAGCACAAGTTTATGTCTCGTAAGGGGGTACGCACAAATACGTATTTGATAGAAACGTACATAGGTGCTCGTGTGTTGCACACCTGCTTGATGAAGTTTTGCGTTGAGATTGTAATCTTCCGCCGCTATTCGCCCCTTTCCACCGTTTCCCCACGCTGTCGCCCTCATGTCTCTTTTATGGTGCACGGCTTAGCTTCCACAGGAGAGCATCCGCCGCGAGTGCTTACCGGATTTGTGCACATATATATTTTTTTTCCCCTCTTCTCAGCTGGACCCCAAATTTTTTAAAAACCAAAAATACTGCTTAAAGGGAATCTTAAAAAAGAAGAAGGAATTGAAATTGAAACAGAAACAAGAAAACAAGAACTAAGCTAGGCAACATAGGATAATAAAATTTCATATTTCTCCCTGAAATTCTGTTGCCCCTTTTTAAATTTTTACCATTTCAAAATTGTGTACCGTTGTGTACATGTTTTTTTTTTTTTTTTTTTTTCGCACTCCTCCTTTTCGAGCAGCTACATGGAATGGTTTATATGTACACGCATAGATCTGCGCCCCGTGTGCATATGTGTTTAAGAATGTTGCATCGGTGTGTATGAAAATTCATTTCAGTGGATAAGACGCGAGTAGACTCAAAGGAACTATGAAATGCTAATTGACCAGATTGAAACGGAGATTTATAGACCAGGAAAAATTGCCACCTTATTAAGTTCCCAGAGTAGGAGGATTTTTATCCCATCTTGGAGTGGTAACCTCCTATTTTGGCGTCTTCTTGTGTACTTATGCATGCAGGGAGAGGGTGCACAGCGGGAAGGAGTTTCTACGCATTGGCTTCCTCTTCAATGCGCTGTGTGGGCCACCGTTGCTATGCAGTACATATGATATCATTTAATCTGCGCACTGAATGGAAACAAATCAGCGTCACTTTCTTCTTTTCCACATTTGTCCAGTGTAAAATAAGGTAGGGGATGCATTGTCACTCGTTAGCATGCGTTCCTCCCCCTGTTTGCTACATTAAATTATTCTACTGCTAAGTGAGCAAAAAGAAAAAAAAGTTTACCCCTGTGTGTGGGAAAAATCATCCCTTTGTTCTTATTTCCTCCGATTACGGATAGTGGAGTGTTTGCTAAGTATGTCCTAAACGTCGTGGTATGCAGGAGCATCGGAGGAGAAGAAAGTGGAAAGGAACGGCGAGGAGTAAATAAGCAGGCAAAGGGGCTATTATGTTCATTTTTAATTAAGTCAATGGGTTTTCTTTTTTTTCGAAGTTGCTTACTGCCACATTCCCTGTGGTAGCCAGTTCAGATAATTTCTGTTTACCTCTCGAAGAATGTGCTTCGTCATGTAAATTATTTCCTCCATTTTGGGGATTGCACCGAAAGGGGGGTGGCTCCTTTTATAAGCCACAAATGAGAATTCCAATTAGCCAAAAAGGGGAAAAAAAAAAAAAAATCCCACTTTTTATCTGCACGTTCAGGCGATTATTTACACATGCATTCTGACATGCCATGGGGTGACAAAATTAGAACTCCAGCAGAGTGGTTGTTATTTTGGAAAGAGATAAAGATAGCTTCCCAAATGATGTGAAAATTGCCGAGATGTATACTTCCCACGGCGTGGTGATTTTAAAAATGCCTTCCTTTTTCGCAGATTCGCGCTTTTTCTGAGCTAACGACACATTGGCGCGACGCCGTTCTGAGTTGTTCGTATTCGACTTTTCTTTTTTTTACTCCTCATTTTGCAATCATAACGCGCTGTGTGCGCCGCGATGGGCGAAGCGTTGACAGACACCTTTGCAGTATCGTACACGCAAACTCGCGAAGACGCAACGGAGAGATAGCATCGAACAGAGCTACCCCATTCTCACACCGCTATCGCATTCCGCCACCCCATTCCCACCGTGCGACATGTCAATCAAGATAAACAAAGATGAGGGTAAGCGAGTGCACGTGTGGATAAGGAGTGCTATCGGCACGCCTAACAGGAGGCAATACAAACATAAGAATATTATGTATCCATATTTTCGCATGTACAAGTCACCATACAGAGCACGTGACTCGCGAACTCGACAAGCATTCTGGCCATGTGTTGACAAATACCCATGGCACACCCATCAAAAAAGGTGGATAAAACCAGAAGAATTAAATGTGAAATTCTTTTCCGAGTTTGTTAATAAGCCGCCAGACAGGAGGAACCTATTTGAGACATGCCACACGCTTCCCTTTAATGGAGTAAACTGTCTTTTTTGGAACCCGGTTTATCTAAATAGTCATAAATATTTTGCGAAATGTAGCAAGGCAAAGCAGGCGGAGGAAGAGGACATAGCAGAGGAGCAGCAGGAGAAGAAGAAGGACGTGGACCGTGGGGAACCCCCTGTCGAGGGGTCCACTCCGATGGGCAGTTTCCAAAACAAAAAAGTAATAAGGATAAACAACTTCCACTACATTGTGGATAGTCAGGCCAAAAACAGCCTTTATTTTTACCTCAAGTGTGTCCGCTACAGCATGAGGCCCTTCAGAGGAAAAATAATTGGAGATCTCTACATGAACGAAAGAAAGATACGAAGCAGCATCTCCCCAAATGGGATAATAAATGGAGAGTGGAAATATTCCTTTCCGCATGTTAAGATAAGTGAAAAGTTTTCCGACGCCGCGTTAGATGATCCTACCGGGGAGGAAGAGCCCGAGGGGGAGGAGATGCTTTCCCAGTTGGTTATAGCGGATAAGTATACCTACCGGCCTCCCCTGCCCAGGTGTTTCAGCGGGGCATGAGATGGACGTGATTGACATATAAAAGGGCGTTAAACATATTTCGTTTTACAGGACACCGTTTAAGCGAGACCATCCGCCTATTCCCGTGCCACCCGCGTGGTAAGCCAATACGACTGGTCATCGCATCGGTGTGCCGTTTGACTCGTCCGTACTCCCCACCAAGTACGCACAGTGGAAATTACATCCAAATGGAATGTTCTACCGGTTTAGTGGCACAAGTGGGGGTCCCTACGTGCAGCGTAAAAAAAAAAAAGAAAAAAAAAAGAAAAAGTAGAAGTAGAAGGTGGTAGCATCTTGGCTACCTCAGTTGAAGATCCATTTTTTGTAAATCTCGCCCAGTAAATAGGGTTCCAACGTGAGGCGGTTAATTTTTGCCTCGTCCAGCAGTTTATTGTTAATTATAAAATCGATGCAAGCTGTGCATAGCTGCTTACAGCAGGTTCTGTAACTCAAAATGAGGATGTCCATAACGTTGGACTCGTTTATATGGTGACTGATGGCGCGCTCACACAACTGCATTAGTCTGAAAATGCTATACCTGTAGGCAGCCAAGATGATAAGAACATAAGTGTCAAGGGAGTAAAACATAGAGAGCTCATCTATGTAGAGATAATTTACAATTATTAGGAAGATGTCATAATCGATATCATGAATTGGGATGACCCTGAGGTTTTTTATTTTCTCCTCTTTTGCTGTTCCATCGCTCACTGGTGGGAGGTTCTTTGCTCTGTAGTAGTGTTTCTCCCCTTGTGTGGAAGCCATTTCGCTCGATGATGCACTAGTGGATGTGCACAAATTGAGGAGTGTCTTAAAGGCTGGACACCTGGAGAGCAAAATGGAAGAACAGCCATAGATGTACTTATTCTGCACCAGAAAAATAACGTCTGCGTATCGGTAATTATTTACCATCATTCTGTAGTACTGGAGGAGGGAAGACGGTTCGATGTGCACGTCTTCCAATTTCAAAGCGTACACATCGCTGAGCGAATTGTTCCCATCAAATCCTGCAATGCAGTAGATGACGTTTTTATAAAAATGAGTATTCATGCTGCTTCGGTTGGTGAAATTGTTACACGTGTGTATTTTAAACCAGATTCTTTCGTGCAGATCAAATTTGTATAGATCATTCAGCCTTTCACATCTGAGGCCATTATACCCTCCCAGGATGTATATACATTTCTTATGTATAAATGAGCCCATAAAGTATCTGGCCACGGGGATTCCTCTATCGTGAGGGGATACTTGCGTCTGATTTTTTCTTCTTTGAGGTGAAATTCTTCCCACTCGCGAATCCCCCGACAGGTGGATCTCCTCAATTTGGTCTTCTCCCTCTACGGAGGTTCCAGACTGATCCTCCTCTTCTTGTTCATCTTCTTCTTCCTCCCCCTCAATCATGTTATACTTCATCTCCGTCCAGATGCCTGTCTCCAGATGATACTGATAGAAGATGTCTAATCCGTATTCTCCATTGTATCCGCCAAAAATGTAGAAATAACCGTCGCAGATATGTCCAATGGCACAGGATCTTGGACTAGGGATCTCTCCACTCTGCTTTGTCTGAATCCATTTCTCTTCCTCCAAATCGAATGCATACATTTTGTTATGTACCGATTTGCCATCGTACCCTCCGAATAGATAGACTCTCCCTTTTCGCTCATCCACAGATAGGGCGAAGCCAAATAACGATGGCGGGGCAAACCTCATGCTCTCCTTCTTCACATTAACAATTTGCCACTTTTCTCTCCTCAAATCGTACACATAAAAATCATTCAACCAAATTTCATTTCCTTGGTATCCTCCCAGAATATACATTTTATCTTTAAATAAAAAGGCAGGATTATTTTCCCTCTTCGATGGTCCATTTAGGGACTCTATTTTGATCCACTCATTTTCGGCAATATTGTATTTGTAAAAATCGTTGAGCCTCCTTTCCGATTTGTACCCCCCAAATATGTATACGTGGTTTTTATACAATACCGAGGCAGCTCCCGTGCGTCTGGGAAGGCACACATTTTTCCCCTCATTCCAGTAGCCTGTACTTTGTGCTGCAGCGCCGTTTCCATGAGCCGCATTCCCTTCGTCCATCTTCTTATAATTTGTCTTTGCGCTGTTTGGTGGTCCATTCAATTTGTTCCACGTTAATACTTTTCTGCTTCTCATTTTGCCTGAACGGATACTTGGACATTCTTTGTTCACCCTTGGATATCTGCTCTGCGCGGCTTCCTTACCCTTCGGGTTGCCTTTCCCCGGGGGGAGACTCATTGTGGGATTGGCTGCCTTGGTGCGGCGGACAGTAAGGCCATTCACAGGCGGCAGCCGCGAGGAGAAGCTACAAACAGGAGCTTCAAACAGGAGCTACAAACAAAAGTTGCCAACAGAAGCCGCTAACCCCAACTGGTGGGTCACAACTGGCAGATGAAAAAAAAAGCACACAATTAGGCCTACACAAAGGGAAGAGAACCTTTTGGGGGTACTCTCACGAGACAAATGTTATTTGTACCCCCCCCACTTGCAACCAGGGGAGATGCTACCTGCCTGTGAACAGAGACTTGAGTGGCAATTAACAAAGCAACAGTCGCTGCAAAACGGTTACTATATTTTAAAGTGGCACGTGATCGAATAAATGGAAATTTTATTTTTTTTTTTTCTTTCACTTCTGCTGTGTTCCCTCGTGTTGCTCTTTTGCAATTTTGCCCAGTTCGTAAAGGTTGCCTATTTTGCAGCACCAACAGCACCTCTGCCCGTTTCTTTTCCCCCCTCCAAAAAATGCTGCCACCAAATGGAAAAAAATTGCAACTGCTGGAGGTGGACCAGAATGCTTATTACTCCTATATACACTTCCTCTTTCCGCTCAGCCCCATGAAGAGAAAAGAAAAAAAAGAAAAAATTCCCGCTGCTTGTCTTTACCTTGTAAAAATTAAAAAATTGTACAACCATCCAGGGGAAACAATAAAAACAAATAGGTTCAGTTGATTAAAATGGGAAAATACGAAAGATGGTAGGAAAAAAAAAAAAAAATTATGCCATATCGTGTCATACCCGAAATTAAGAAGATCTAATTTTATTTAAAAAAAAAATGACAAGCCAAATGGGCTGATATGTTAACAAAAAAATGAAGCAAAGTAAAATTAAGTAAAATGAAAATAAAAAGGTAGCACAAATTGTACCAGGAAAAATCTTAAAATGGCTCGAAAAAAAAACGGCGGTGTAGGGTTTCACAAAAAGGTACATAAATTGGGGGGAAAGGTAACGTATAAGTACAAATTAAGCATTATTGGGTTAATTATTGAGGAAGAGAGTGAGTGAGGAGAAGGGGGTATCAAGACGCAAACAAACATATGGAACAGATTTAATTAAAAGTATTCAAACATGTTACTACACAGCAATCAAATGGGACAAAAGGTGCGCGAGGGGGCTTCTTGCACAACCGCGTGGATGGTGAAATGTTCCCAGGTGGGGAAAAAAATATATATATAAAATATATAAACCGATAAGAATGCCCCTTTGCATACGGGACACAGGACAGGGTAGCATACAGACCAAAAAAAAAAAAAAAAAAAAGGCGGGGGATACATATCAGCGCTTCCCTCGTGCAGCCTAGCGTAGGCATACATGTGGATGGGCCCCTCATCAACAAGTACACGACATCCCCGCTGACTGTGCTCACATAATCGAGCAAACCCTCCTCTGACAGTAGTTGCAACAGTTTTCGTCCTCCGGGTCATCCGAGGGCCCCTGTGCAACAGTGTACGATACGGTCATCTCGTTCTGAGGCAACCTATAGGAATTCATCATATAGGACTGAGAGCTGCTATTCGTAAAGGAATAATTGCTGGACTGGTCGGTATAGTTTTTCCTCTTCTTCTCTAATTCAAGTTGGTTACACCTTATAATCAGTTTCTCCACCTGTTTTTTATACGAATGGATAATGCCTTCCGATTCTTCCTTCACTAAAGTCAGTTCGTTTTTTTCCTTAACAAGATTTTTAATGTTCATATTTTTCTGCTGAATCTCATAATTTCTTAAGTGCAGAATTTTGTTAAGTTCTGTTTTTTGTTCCTTTTCCCTTTTTAGCTGTTCTAATTCCTTTTTCTGATTTTCAATAATGGAGTCATAGTTCCTTATTTTGTCATTCAGGTCTTTCAATCCTTTTTCTCCCCTCTGCAGTAAGGACATGACATCATTGGAGCCGTCTGCATGGTCACTGTTGTTTAAAATTTCGCTGTCAAATTCGAGTAAGAATGTTTTAAATCTCTCTACGATGGCCATTTTTTCACTTAGCGCTTTCTTCAAATCTTGATTTATCTGTTTCCTCGCTCCTAAATCTTCTTGCAGTAGCAACGTCTGGGGAGAAGATCTCTCCATAAAACATCTGTCACATACTCGTACTTTCTCTGCATAGCTGTATTCGCTAATTTTTATCTTATTGTCGGAACAGTTGGAACAAAATACATTTCCGCAAGCTCTGCAATGATGTTTTCTTACCCTTACGTTAAAGAAGGCATTGCAGCTGTAGCAATTCGTTACCTCCTCATCAGGGACCCATAGACATTTTTTGTCATTTTCATTATTTTCGGCATCCCCCATGGGAGATGCTGACTTGTTCAGGTAAAAATCGTTTTCTGTGTAATGGCCCATATATTATTTTGGCTAGTTTTTTTTTTTTTTTCTTTTTTTTTTTTTTTTTTCTTTTCAGCAACGTGAGTCAGGCGATTTTAACATAAATGGGGGTTAGCACAGGGGGGGGAGAAATTGATGGCGATAAAAGGTTATTTGCCAAAGTGGGGAATATCAAGCTGCACAGATAAACATATACTGCGATGGACTGGGCACATTATTTGTTACGTCTCGGGAGGGAGGCTGTTGAACTAGTCTACACTACCCCGCGATGGAGAAGCAAAGGGTGGATTTACCAGCGCATATTTAGGCACGGAAACACGCTCACGTAGTAGACCCTTATGTTTACCTATGCGACGCGGTTTTGCCTCACCCGCCACAGGCGCGCCAACTGTCGAAAGGTATGTTTTAAACTTAAATTTTGAAAAAATTAAGAATCAAAGCGCAGTCACTTTTTCGCAAAAATGCTGGCTTGGCTTCTCCTGTTCGACCTTTTGACATAATTGCATAATAATTGAAAAATTTTGGGGCGTTTTTTATTTATTTTTTTTATCCACATGGAGAGCATTTGACATGTAATTTAAGGGAGACCTAGCCTGTACAGGGGCGCGAATATCTATACAATATTATGCTGATTTTACGCACAATAGTGTGCTGCCATGAAGTTTAAAAAATAATGTTATTATTTTATGCTTCGAGGCGAAGCATTAGAAGTGGCAAAAAAATATATTTTTTTTTTCTTTTTTTTTTTGTTTTTTTGCTGCACTGCACACAAATATATTTAATTAATGAAGAGAAAACTTATGCATAATTGCATGCTGCTCCTTGGGGGGGGGCATAACGGTCGTAGAACGAATTAAACTAAGCGCGCAACTTTCAGCCCTTTTTTGTTGAAAAGAAATGCATAAAACGGTTTTTGCCACATGTGAATATATTAAATTATCCATTTGGTATATTCTTCAAAATTATTTCAAATTGAAAAAGGCGTAAAATGAATTTTTTTCTTCTTTTTGGCAACTTCAGCTTGGTTGCGTAGAATTCACGTGGCTCAAGAGTGATGTTTGTGCGTTAGGCGGAAAAAATAAAAGGAAGCGAACGCGTGTCCGTGATTGCTACTGTATTATTAGCTTATTTACGCATTTTATCCCCTTTTGGATGTTTATAAGCTGGCTTAAGTTCCCCTAATTGGTAGAAAAGTGTCGCTTCTCGTATGACCGCTTTACATTCATGTGACAAAGCAGCCACTTCTCTTTCCCTGCTGCTGCTTACTCTCATGCCAGTTGGTGCATGTGTGAGGGGCAGCGGACCAAAGAGGGCCTAAAAAATGCGAAAATAGTGAGAGACGTGGGCAGACGAATGGAAGGGGATAAAAGGACGAACGCACGCTGCGTAGGTACGCAATTGAGGCACACATGCGCGCAATCGAGCAACAGTGCAGTTATGCAGTTGCGCATGCGTGGAGGAGGGCTGTTGCTTTTTTCTCCCAGACGAGACCACCATAAAGGGTTATTACCCCATTTGGGCGAGCCAATCCATCTGCATTAACGTTGCCTTCATCGGCGTGGCTGTCCTGGAGAGCATCTCCGTTCTGTTCACAAGGGACCTCACAGCCTTGTCTCCCCCCATGTAGCCGCATCCCAAATTGAATACGACAAAATGGTAGAAGACCCGTTTTATATGTACCGTTTAGGCAATCCACGCAGGTCGTACCCCTACTTGTTAATGCTAACCTTCCCCTTTTTCCCTTTCTCTCCTCAATCGCCACATATAGAAGTACAGTGAATCATTCTGCACCTTCCTGCACAGTTGTGTACCGATCAGAGGAGGAGTTCATTCATAAGGGCGCAGAATTTTTCTATCAGTTTTTCAATAACGCCTTCTACCATCGGTGGGGTAGTGGCATGATAACTTACGCCCTGTGTTAACTTTCTCATGTTGGATTGATTGCTGTCGTTCTGATCATTTAGAGGCCGTAGCAAATCGGCATCAATCTCTATGTCCGTTACGATGTAGACTGATCGGTGATCTCCTGACGAAGAAGAGCAAATTGGGGTAGAGACTTCCGTTTCTCTTTTCACAAAATGGACGTCCACGAAACATCCGCCAATGTGCTTATCCGCAGTTGGCATCCCATCCGCTCCGTTTATGTTAAACTTAATATGATAAAAATCTAACGTTTGCATAACTGCAGTTTTGGACAATTGAGTTAAGCATTGAGCTCTATCTTCCAACTCTTTTTCCTTCCACAGAAAAATAAAAGAAACAAATAACTTTCCTTTTTCTGACAAGTGCAGAATGTTTGCCATCCTTTGGCTATCGTCTGCCTTGGTTGTTCTCGTCTGGAAGTTACTGCTAAGTATGACCACATGGTGACTATCTTTTAATTTTTTCTCGTCAACAATCGATTTGATATTTTTCTCAGTGGATAATCGATTGAAGTGAAATCTGTGTGCATTAATCGCGGGGTATATTTTTTCGTACAGCAATTTTTCCCTTTCCATTTTGGAAAAAGGGGGATTTTTTCTTTATGACACTTTTATTTGGAGGGGTCAGGATGAGTGAAGTGGGAAGGTATATATACTGCTATGTTTGTCCAGAGTTACTACGTGGCATGTGTGGGGGGAAGAAGCGTTGCCTTGGCTAGCTTCCCTACTCATGGGGGAACAGATTATTCTTCCTTTTATGTGTAGCAAAAAATTAGCGTAAATCTTTTGCTTAGTGTTTAGCTGCTAAAAATTGAAAAGTGCCCGTAAGTGAATCTTTTCACATTTTTCACCTGGGGATGGTTCCCTCACGGGGTGTAACAGCAACTCTGTGTGCATGTCCTTTGGTCAAAAAATAACTCACCGTTTTTTTGCTGCCATTGGAGTTACCGCTGTAAGAATTATTAATGTGTGATGGTCTTAATTTTTTCCATTCCTCGATTCCTCGCGCCACCGTCCTACGTTACGGGTTGGCGTCCTAACCGTCAAGAAAGCAAAACTGGTCGCAAATATTTACATGTATCACGCGAAGTTGCACTTTCGTTGAATTCTTTTTTTTTTTTTTTTCTCCATGACGAGTTGCTGAAATCTGTTTTGGAACATGTGTATGTAGGAAGAACACTTCTTTCCCACCCCTCAGCCTCGCAAAAATAGTTGCGAGCAAATGGACAGCGTTGCACTTGAAAGCAGATTTTTTTTTTATTTTTTTCATGGACGGACAGATAAGACAGATCATTTGTAATGCGCCCAAGGAAAGGAAATGCCTGGCAGTTTGTTCGCCGTCGTTCGTCTATTCGTTTGTTCTGCTTCATTCCGCTTGTCTGCTCCCTTGTTGGTTGACTCTTTTTTTCCTTGCCACACAAAGCGGAGTGGAATCTTAGCCGTGTCAAGGGAAGAAAAAAAATGAAGGCAAATGGACAGTGCGACCACGTGGCAGATTTTTCTTCAGCGTGAACTTTGTTCAGGCGAACACGACAGAACTGTTTTTGAGAAAACAAAATTGAAATTGTTAATTCCGCTGGAACAGCAATAACGTAACACCCGCTGGTGTTTCCTCGCCAGTGGACCAACGGGGGGAATACGCCAAGGAAGGACAAGCAAATGCAAAAGTACTGCCTATCGGAAAAAAAAAAGAAAAAAAAAAAATGGAAGCTACATTGCGAATAAAGTGCATACACAGTTACGTTGCGGGAATACCGAGTTGCCGAGAAATTCTTCCGGCGCCTTCTCCCCTCTTCGTCTGTCGGGTTATACAAAAATATTCATAATAAACAATATGTGTGTGCACTTTTTTGCAAATCGTCTTCTCATTCCACCCCCCCACAGGAAATCTGCCCCGTGCACCCCCTGTTTGACAGAACAACCAATGAGAGCAGCACTAAAATCGACTTCCCGACACCCCCTAATCCCTTCCCATCCTGTCAACATCCCCCACCGTAGCCGTGAGTGCACATCATAACCCCAACTATGACGAGAAAATGTTCAGGTCACAAGGAATAAAAAGATGGACGATGAAGAGGTTTTTATGTTTCCCCATAGGGACAGCAAGTATTATTTATGCCATACTCCTCATACTGATGTCGATTCTAATGTTAACGCACACATCGCACTACAATGAAGCGTTGTTCATAGTCATGTCCATTCTAAACTGCATCTGCGCGGTGTTAATATTCATCTCAGTTGCAAACAAAAATGCCTTTACAGCGTACATAGCATATAATGTGGTAGTCATAAACTATATGGTGGAAGCAATTGAGTGTTTAATATGCCTCTACAATACGTGTACGTCTCATAGCGTCCAGTGGTATTACGACAATTTCGATTGGCACAGGAAAATCATTTTAAATTACCTCATATATTATGGCATACTAGAAATGAGTGTTCATATTTTTATGTTTATCATTGCCTTCTTCGTTATACAACTGGTTTGGAGTTTTTATCGAATTTTGCAAGTGGGTGGGAATATTTTTTCCTTCCAGAGGGCTGAAGATATTGAGAAGAGTCTTCACGGGACGCACTACTACTCCTACGGGACCATACCCCATATGCAGCATTACTGATGCGCCTCCTACGGTAGGAGGAGGGTGTGTTGTTGTGTCGTTGTGTGTTTGTGTGTCTTCCTGTCTGCCTGTCTGCGTATGTGTGTGAGGGGGATGCACGTATCCACGAAAAGCTACATTTGCATGTTCTCTTCTAAACCGACTTTGTCTTTCCCCTTTGACGAACATTCCGTGATACACCTACTCACCGATCTGTCACTCGGGGTATTGCTACTCTTTCTGCGTGTGACCCTGATTAACCGCACGTATTTACTTTAACATATGTAGGTCCTGAGTGGCCATTTTTAACCAATTCAGTTTCGCCCCGTTTTTTTTTTTGTGTCCATGCGTGGACCCTTCATGGGTGTGTATTTTATAGTTTTTGTTTTGGTCTACGTTTTTGATTTGGTTTACGTTGATTCTTTTCCGATTTAGCGTTTGCTTTTTTTTTTTTTTTTTTTAATTAACGCAACGGAGCAAACGACACGATACGTTGCCTTTTCTCCAAGACGTTTTCCGTTTGGTACGGTGCTCTGTTTTTGGAACATCGTTGCCCTTTTTACCACGCGTCCCTTTCGCAACCATGGAAGCGACCTGTGCGCGTTTGTGGGCACGCACGCAACACAAAGAAATTTGACCAGAGATAATAGACCCACTTAAAAATGGCCACAGAAAAATAATAAGAAACAATTTCGACACGATAATCCCTACATGCCGAGTTATCCAAAAAAGGCGATTATCCGCGTGGAGCCAAGCTACACAGCGTTTGAAACAATGTTCAAAGGGAAGATCCGCATATCGCAAATGTCGCACGGGCAGTTAATGACCAATTCGGCCTATAACAGGAACAGTTATAAGTGGCACATCCGAAAAGGGAAGCAAAATGAGCGAAGAGAGCTCATCCTCATCCTGTTCATCTTCTCCATTAGGGCTCAATACGCATATACCTGGGTGTCCACATTTGTGCCGCTTCGAAAAGTGTACACGCAATCCACCTTGACGATTCCTTTTTGATAAATAGACAAAAGGTGAATAAATGGTACTCACAACTCGGCTGATTTGAAAGGATCTCTTCCTTAAGAAAAGCTGGTGCTAGCCTTAAAAGAGAATATCCGTTATACAATTTTACGCATTTATAAAAGAAAAAGGTACAAACCTCTTTTTTCCTGAACAAGTGTCTATTCAATCTTTCAAATGATGTCAGAAAAAGAAAAGCTCATTAAAAAAACGCATTAAAACAACGGATTAAAAGCAGTGCTACCACCCACTCTGCACCATTTAAAGGATAAAGTCGTATCGTGCGAATTCGATAAAAATCGCATAAGACATTCATTTAAAACCATCAGTTAGGAGCTGTTAAAGTTGTTATGGAAGTCCTTTTATTTACAAATGGGTCGAACGGATATGCATAAAAAATGTTCTGACTTGTTCAGGTAAAAATTGAAGAAAATGGTAAAGAAAAAAAAAAAAAAAAAAAAAATATTCCCTGTAGATGTAAAAAAGTGTGGCTTTTTTTTTTTTTTTTTGGCAAATTACACAATACACAATCCATTTTGTAAGCCTCCTTTTTTGGTGTTATTAAGTAAAACGTAAATTCCAGCCCAAATGGTATGTAAAAAGGGGGCTAAATAAGTACATAAAACATTATGTATATTTTTGCGCATTTTATGATTTCCCTCACCCACACCCCATTTTCGTGTTAAGTGGTTTTGAACTATTGGAAAAGCTCGCTCGGCATATGCGCAAAATAAATGTGCGGCACAGAATTGTATGGAAATAATGGGAGCATTATTTTTGGTATCATTTATTTTTGCAGCAATTTTTTTTTTTTTTTTTTTTCCTTCCTCCCTCCGTGCACAATTTTTTCTGAGATTTTTTTTTCCAAAAAGTCATTAAATGTTATAGCAAATATTTTTCTTTACAATTTTTCCCTTAAAAAGCAAAAAAAAAAAAAAAAGAAAAGCGAGTACTTACAAAACGGCAAATCAACTTTTCGTTCATTTGAAAATTCAGATTTTTTACGAAAGAGACTGCGGAAAAAAAAAGAAGTAGGCTTCGTTTAAGCATATATCGAAAGAGGATTTTCCTTTCAAGTTAAATCCCCCATCGTCAAGAATAAAGAAGCTCATTTGTGCGTCGAAGCGGTATATCCTATATATCTAGGAGAATCCTTCTTCCTTTTTTTTTTCCTCTTTTTGATGAACCCTTAAAAATGGATTTTCTCAACCAAATCAGGAAGCGACAGAAGGAGCTGAAGCTGTCGAACATTTTAAATTTCTCACCGTTAACAAATGAAGAGAGGAAACATTTAATTAAAATATACGGCCTGCTCGCCGTGGGGACAATGATAACTGCATTGAGTTGCTATATTGACATATATTTTTTGAAAATCCCGAGATTTATAGCGTCTATGATTAGCTTGTTTTGTTCCTTTGCCTTGGCTGGGTCATGTAGTTATTCTCATTATGGCAATGCCTTACCAGTTGCATCGAAAAAAAGGTTACTTTATTTTGCCGGCATATCATCTGCAATCGGAATTTTGATGAGTGACTATATCGCTTACGTTAATTACCTGAACCCGTCCATTCTCCCCTTGGCCTTTTTTGGAAGCCTGTCCATATTTTCGTGCTTCTCCTTGTCGGCCATATTTTCCAAGAATAGGTAAGCGCCACAGAGACATCAGCAGATGTCTATATACTGTAGGCAGATGAGCGCTCTTTTAAATGCACCTTTTGGAGGTCCTATATTTTGCCAATAAATCGTTTTTGCCTTATATTAAACTCCCCGTGTATAGAGAATTCTTTTTCATAATATATGGATCATACTTGTCTGTGCCTCTGCGTTAATGAGCCCATCCCCACAGCTGCTAAATTTCGCATAGTGGGGCCCCCATTATTTCCTATGATGACACATTTTTCAACTTCTCATTTTTCAACTGCTCCTTTTCTTCTCATTTTCTTCCTTTTTTTTCCTTCTTTTTTTGATATAGAATTTCCCTATTCCTTGGAACGGTATTAGGCGCCGTGTGCTCCTACGTAGCGCTCATTTCGTTTATGAATTTTTTTATAAGGTCACGAGTTATTGACGCCACTTTGTTGTATGTTGGATTCTTTATGTACATGGGGTAAACGTCTTAGAGGGAGGTGCATGCGAGAGTGGTCCTGCGTGGCGGCGTAAAAAAAGCATACCGACCAATATGTACCTTTTGAGCATATATTTTCCCCATTTGGTAAAGAAGCACGCAATAAATAAGGGGAGTGAACCATTTTTTTCTCTTTTTTTTCCTCCCATTGCAGATTCGTCTTATTCGACACCCAAATAACTTTGTTTGATTTTCGCCGGGGAAACAAGGATTACATAGTAATGATTTAAAAAAAAAAGAAAAAAAAAATCATAAAGCAGATGATGATCATCGCATGATACCATAGTGGATGACCACGTCTGTGTCATTTCTGCTGTGTATGAGAATGAGCCGTTTGTGTATAAATTGTGCGACCTAGTTGAGTCTGCATAATGTTCCTCGGGCTACCGTTCATTTGGCCGCTGCTCTGCTCATTTTTATTTTATTTTTCCTTTTCTCCTCCCCCGTGCAGATGCACTCCATTTGTCTGTATCTCGACTTAGTGGGACTCTTTACGCACTTATTGAGGATACTAGGCCAGAAAGAGGAAAAAAAGAAGAAATAAATAATATCACCCGACCCACTATAGACTTTTTATTTGTACTTGTAATTAAGCTTCTCCAATGGATTGGAACAAGTGAATGATTCAGCAGAGGAGTAGAAGGCATCCTGTCTGCACCTGCCCACGCCTCAACCAGCATGTGCATATGTATATATATATACACCCTTTTTTATGAGGTAAAAAAAAAAAAAATACTTCTTTTTTTTTTTTTTTAAATTTTACTTTGTTGTATATATTGATATATTAAATAACTACGGAACGAGTTGTTTAATTAAAAAAAGAGAAAAAATAGCAACGCTCCTTTTCTGCCAACTGTGGTTCTTTTTTTATCGGTACTAATTCTGCGGGATGAAATGACTCCAGGAGAAATTATCTTGCTTTACACCACTTTTGGAGTGAATAAAGTGGAGAAGGAAAAAAATAAAATTTTTTCTACATGCCTAACGCCTACACGCGTGCGTTTCGCTGAGGAATCATATTCGTCGGATGACCGAATGGGGGCATACACGCACAGGTTCATATGAGAGGACAATATTGTGTTGTATCAATGGTGAGAAAAGAGCTCCGATGGAGAGGTATATCCCATATTGGGGGAAACATATCTTCCATAGGAATATGGAGGCACATTGTATGGATGGGGCGGAGCCCATAGCAGTGCGTAACGGTGGAGTGGAGTATTCATATGCCTGCTCGACAAGATAAATCATATGCAGAATTGTGAAGCTCCATGGTAGGTACTCGGAGAAAGCATATTTATTCACATACTATTCGAAGCCTAATCAGGAAAGAAGTCATGAGAAAGGAACTTTTGTTTCGAACCGCCAATCACTTTGCATTTCAAAATAGCGTGTGCCTGCTGGGATTCCTGAGGCTTGTGAAATTTCACCTGAGTGGTAGAGTCGGCATCAGCAACGTAAGGTCATTGAAAGGGAAAAGAAGTAATTCTACCGCTACTAGTGTGCATTCGAACAGGATGGAAGTGACGGTGAGACCTGATAAAAAAAAAAAAACAAGTTTATAAGAATCATCTCAACATGCTTTCCTCTTATACAAATCGTTTAATATGTAACGTATTCTCACATTTACTTCAACTTTTTTTTTTTTTTTTTTTTTTTCCCCTTGACGTCCTTCCGCCTGCACAGTACCTATCCCAATCGCTAGCACAAACGATTGACAACGAATTGATGAGTGACGATGTTGGGTACACCACCGAGCAGTTAATGGAGTTAGCCGGACTTTCCATTGCGCAGATAATATGTAGGGAATACAGTTTGGATAGATTTAAAAAAATTCTCATATTTTGTGGACCGGGGAATAATGGGGGCGATGGCTTAGTCGCGGCTCGCCATTTGAAGCAATTTGGCTACGACGTCACAGTCGCTTATCCGAAGGAGAACAGGAAGGTATTGTTTCAGGTGAGTGCCGCAGCGTGGTAGGTAAGCGGCGTGTCTTTCTCACCTAGCCGCGAATGTAGCGCCTGTCGCCACGCTGCTGTAACGCTCCCATCACCCTGCGATTACTTTCCTTTCCCACGCAGAGGCTGCTGAATCTGCTGCAGCACTACCACGTGCCCGTAGTGAAGTCCGCAACAGGTCAAGGTGCGTCGAGGGGGCACGCAAATGGGCAATGAGCATATAGCTTATAAGCATAAAGGCTATAAGCATACATACATATAGGCATATAAATACCCCTATATGTCTGCTTAATTGTATATATTTATACGCGTGTGAAACGAGGCCGCACGTATTTCCAATCCGTTGGTGAAAATCCCGAGTCATGCAAAAATTCATAATGCCGTTTCGTCCGATGCGCAGACGTGAAGATGTATGACTTAGTCGTGGATGCCTTATTCGGCTTTAGCTTCAGAGGAGAACCTCGGAGCCCCTTCGACGAGATAATCCATGTAGGGCTCGTCCCAGCTGTGGCATGTCATATATGTCTTTTTTTGTCTGCCCTGTGTTGGCTGCCTTCCTGCCTGTTTGCCCTGCTCTCTTTCTTGCCCTGTTGTGTTCCCTTCAGTGTGTACCTTTGCGCCGCCAAAAAAACAAACTTCTCGCATCTCCCCCGCAGGTCATTAACCAGAGCAACAAGCCCGTCGTGTCGGTGGACGTACCATCAGGGACAAACATAGACGGAGGTAAGCAAAAGGGGAAACGACAAAATGGGAAAACAAGCGAACGCTGATGTGTGCCTAATCGAGTTAGACAAATATATATATTTTTATATATCATTTTTTTTTTTTTTTTTTTTTTTTTTCTTTTCCAAACCAGGCAGCGCAGCAAACGCCTTTTGTGTCAACTCAGAAGTCAACATATCGTTGATGCTTCCCAAGGAGGGGGTTCGACATTACGCGAAGAAGCATTACCTGGGGGGGAGATTCATACCGAAGTAACTGTTTTGTTTTTTTCTCCGCTGAATGTCTCCTAGTTGGGGTTCACTGCTGATAACACCTGGGCCTGCAATTTGGCATACGTCGTTCCATGTAGTGCAACACAGTATGGTATGATATGATATCATATGGTGTATTTTTTTTTCTTTTTTTTTTTTGCGGCAGTTCCATCGTGGAGAAGTACAATTTGAAGATTCCTCAATTTGCAGGTTAACACGAATCACTTGCGAGCTGATGTCTTAATTTTCCCATTCGTTCACAATGACAAGAAAGAAAGGAAGTAAAAACGATGTAACTTTTTTTTTCGTCCTCATTTGACACTTTGCAGGGGATAACTCATACGTGCTGCTGTAGGCGGTATCGGGGCTTCACGGGCAGGTTGCTTCTGATCACACTGTGCTGCATAGTAGTAATGATGTGATGTGATTTTTGTCCTGGGGGGTATTATTTCCCATCTGCCTTTTTTGGTAACGATTCACTAGGAGAAGTATCTCCCTTTGTGACCTCCTTCTTGACGAAGATGTTGCTGAGAGCCCCATGAAGAAAATTTTTATCCGGAAGGAAATTTCCCACGGGAAGGAAAATATACGCGCGCAAAGTTCAGACCGTTTCACCCTATTTGAGCGACACGTCGTTTGCAAAATTGGGCTGACCACCTCCGTTTCGCTTTTTCCTTTGGGAAACAAAAACGGGGTGTCTACAATTCAACACGAGGAATAATACCAAAATTTGCCGCTTCATCCAACCATCACCCTCGTCAACATTTTTTACGACCGTTCTTCCACTGTGACACGGCGGTGTGTGACGCGCCTTTAACTCTGTGCAAAAAAGGAAAGAAAAAGGGACGCTCGATTCGGATCGTATGCTTTACTCTCCTTGTTCCTTTTTCCTCATTTACTCTATGTTTAACTTTAAACAAAATTTTGATGCGTTCCGCTTTGCGCACACGGAAGAGGTTTTGACACAGAATCAAATGGTACAAGGGGGGGGCAGATATGGCAAAAAAAAAAAAAAGAGAAAAAGGAAAAGGGAAAACACCAGCAGAGAGGAGATAAAACGAATCTACAACACACACGGGGTAAGCGGAACGGGTAGGCAGTGCACCACTTTTGAAAAACCTTTTCTTTTGGGGGGTGAACCGGGTGGCTTCCTTACAATGTGCAATTTTTTACCTCCTTTTTTTGTCTCTTTTTGCCGCTCCCACCACCCTATTGTGCTAACCCCCCACACACACTCACAGCTTCAGCTGATCAGCCAACAGTTCGAACGCGTCGATCTGCACGCTGGGCTTCTTATTTCCTTCTTCATTTCTCTTGGACGAAATGGCAAAGGAGTTAAAGAACTTATCTATCTGATCATCTGTGCTGGGAAAAGTCCCCGAACTGGTTAGCTGGCTCTGAAATTTCTCTGCGGATTTATTTGAGTCATTCGTATGCATCATGTGGTAGCTGTTCCCCTGCTGAGGTTGATCATAGGGGTTACTACTAGTGTTCATTATGCCTCCTCCGTATGGGGGTGTATATCCCTGGACTTGTCCTTTTCCACAACTGAGTACTGAGCTTTCATTGGCAAAGTGGGAGTCACTCGTCAAGCTGGGAAATTCCTCCCGCATATCTATGAAGCTTAAATCGTGGCTTTGTACATTTTTCCGGTTGACATTTTTGTTTCCACCAAAAGGTTCATTCTCTTGCCGTTTGGAAGGATCGTAAATTTTCATTGTGGCATTTTTGTCTTTACTCAAGTGGAACATCGAGCTGGTATCGAAGTTGGTATCGAAACTTCCATCGAAGTTGCCACCCAAGCCGCCATCAAAGCCGCCACCGATTTTGGCATTATCTGTTTCGTCACTGTACTTGGTGTCAGCCACATGTGCGTTATTCCCCCCCCGGGGGGTGGTTGTCGTCCTATTTTTATCTCCGCCGCTTCCCCCCTCTATAGCGTTCTCAAAGGTGAAGAAATCAATTGCCTCGTTAAAATGAGGAAGGTTCTTTTCCGCGCTTATGGCTCCTGTTTTGTTTCCCCCTTGATCTTTATTTTCTAGAAAAATCAGGTTACTAGCCCCGGTGTCACTTAAGTCAATTTGGTTACTGTTCTGTCTATGGGCGCGTGCACTGCTTGACATTTCGGGTGGGTTTCTTTTTTCCCCCTTTTGGATGCTTTGCCCAGTGGCAAAGTTTCTATCGCTGCTTTCGCATGTGTGCTGTGTGTCCTCTTTGTCTTGGTACTTCACATGGAGGCTGCTAAACAGCTTGCTGTCGTTCGGTGCTGTTTTGCTATCTCGTCGGCTCTCTCCTCTGCTGCCTCCTCCCCTTTGGGGGGCATCGCGATTTGGAGGCGCCCCCATGGAGAGGTTGTCAAAATGGATTATTAAATCGTCCACAAGATCCACTTTCATATTCTCCTGGCTGCCTCCTTCCGTTGGATACTTTTTCCTCTGAGGGAGAAAGTCCAAACTCCTAGCCGACGTGTTGCCATTGTGGAAGCCGCTTGCATATGCGTCCCCTATGGGCGGGTAACGACCCTGTGTGCTCGTTGTTCCCTCCCCGTGCGCGCTGTTCCTACTGTTGCCAGGGCTGCTTGTTACGTCCATCTGCACATCGTCATCGATGTCAAGAAGGTTTGGCACTTCCAAACTGGGATTGACTTGCATAGTATGCTTCCCTTCCATACTGCGATTGCCTTCCCCCCTCCTTGAGTCCCCACTTGGCTGCTTCACCCGAAGACCAATCAGGACAAAAATTTCCATCACTTGTTTTTTTAGATGCTTAATTTCTTTGCATCGGTAAAGCTCCTCCAACGTTTGGTCTTTTAAATTCTGAATAAGAACTTCTAACGTCTCAATTGCCTTTCCGTTTTGTTTCTTCTTCCTGTGTAGGAGGAGGTGCCTCACAGCACAGAGTACCTTAAATTTATTTTTCCAGTTTTCCTCTTCGTCGATATATTTTAATCTCAGTTTGGAGGTAAGAATGGATACTATAAGCTTTGTGTCTAGGGTTTCACATTTTTGGACAAATTCATTTAGCAGACTTTCGGCTGGTACTTTATTAATTCCAGCGTTAATCAGCACATCTTCGATTATTTTTCTTTCGTAAATTCCGGCGGTTTGTGATTCTTGCGGTTTTCTCCCTTGGTCCTCTCGCCTCGCATTTTGGAAGCCTCCACTGGGGTGCATCCTGCCGGTGGGGGCCTGTCCGCTGAAGCTGCTAAACGGGGCGTGGCTGCTAACCCCGCCTCGGCTGCTAAACGCGGCTTGATTGCTAAACCCGCCGTAACCGCCTCCTCCCTGGTGACTGCCCGCTGACCTACCCACGCGGCTCCGCTCCAAGTTCCTGTTAAAGGCGTTACCGTTCATGATGCTCTGTATGTTCAGCGACCCGTTGGCGTAATTTTTTGACAGAGACGCACTGACCTTGTTAATTTTGCTTACGAAGGAGGATGGAATATATTTGTTGGCCACTTCGTTTAGATACTGTATGGCTATTTCTCCCTTGGTTTTCTGTCCAGGGTTTTGGTTAAAGTAGGGATTTCCAAAACCGGACATTTTGTTCATGTAATTATTTCGGCTGTTAAAATTGTTCGCCATGTGGTTGCCTGGGTTTGGGCTGAGTGCACTGCCTCCTCCTGCGGGGGTTCCATAACTGCTGTGCATAGCGGTGTGCATGCTGCTTTGCATGCCTCTATTCATGCTGCTCGCAGTGGTGCTCTTTTCAAAGTGCGAATTGCCAAAACCCTGTATTCTATTATTTTTCACCATGTCATGATGACTGTTGGATGCGCTTTTCCCATCAGTCTCTGCAGCGTCATAAGAATAAATCAGTTTAATCAAATCGGATGCTTCTTTTCTCACGAGCATGGAGGGAGTTTCTCCCTTAAGTTCGTCATGGACTATATTGCACGTTTGGCAATTTTTAATTATGTCGATTTTTTTTTTTAGAAAGTTTCGAAAATCGGGTCTTTTCTTATCACAGAGATGCTTTAATATTTTAAGCGTTTTTATTTTTACATTGACATCTGTCCTCTGCAATTTTTTCAGTAGGTACTCCCCCACGAGATTCATGGATTCCTTGGAGGAGAAAGCCATTTGCGATATTTCGTTGTAGAGGTATCCTGGCGTGGGCTCGTCGTTCGACGAGGTCGCCTTGTTCAAGATGAGGCGGTTCATCTTGGGGGGAGCGTTCTGTTGAATGGACGGTTCCTGCTTCTTTGTGCTGCGTTGGCTTCTCTTGGGAACCACTTTTTCTTTCCCACTTGGCTACTTCCTTGACGCGCTTTGCGGCGTGCCTCCCGACGTTCTTCCTAACGTGGCGTGGACTCCCTGACTATCCTTTCCTCTGTGTGCCGTCCGTTTGGATCTGCCGCCTATCCCCTTAACAGATTAACCGCTTAAGGGGGCCTCCTTCTATGGACATCCTCCACACATTCCGCTCCTCTGGGTGTTTCCCCCTCCCTCCTGGTCTGAAAAAGAGGAATTTTTTCCAAGTGTAATGGGTAGGTTACGAGCCGATTCGCTGCGCTACGCCGGTAAATTGGAGTAAGCAGAATGGAGAAGAAAAGGAAGAATCTCTGCTTCCACCTTCCTTCCTGAACTACTCATTCGCGGGTGAGCTCTGCCGTTGTCAAGTACTCCCTTCGTGAAGTGTATTTCATTCGTGCTTATGCTGTTTCCTCTTGAGCCATACGTATGTGACGTATGTGTTCACGCGAAGATGAGGGGACATTCATCCGTTAAGGGGAGAAACTCGCGATTGCCTCTTTCTCCACGCATACTCTTGCGGGCTTCTCCTGCCTTCCCCCTCCGTACCTCTCGCCTTCAAAAATGTCACCTCAATGTTAAAGGGTTCGTCGAGTTGCTGACTTGAAAAGAAAAGCAAAAGGGGTAACAGGCGGTAAAAAGGGGGTAAAAAAAGAGGGAAAAGAAAAGGGGTAAAGAAACGGCAAAAAATGGCAAAAAGGTAAAGCGGCAAAAAGGCAAAACGGAAAAAAGGCAAAACGGAAAAAAGGCAAACGTCAAAATACTTAAAATACGCGCGTATGCACGCGCATGGCCTACATATGCGCCTAACATTCACAAGTCCGCTCAAGTTTTCTTTTTTTTTTAAGAAAAAAATCGAAGAATAAAATATGTGCACATAAAAAAAGTTCTTTGCCAATTCGGCAAGTTGCTTCATTTTACAAATGTATTTCTCCACAAAAGGGGGGGGCAAAACGCCATGCTTTCGCCGTGGTGCGGAATGAATTCATTCAGTGGCCCCCTTCACGTGTGCGATTGAAAAAGGTGTTCGTTCGCAACTTGGTACATATACGTGACAGAAAAGTGTAACGCCCTCTGGCGCAAACTGCGCGTTTGTTTTTTTTTGTTTTTTTTCATCCCTATTTGGCAGGGCGGCGGTGGCTCCGCTCCTCTGCGGGATGATCAGTTTTTCTAAAAGTTGTAAAGATTTGCAAAAAGATGCGAAATGTTACCAATTTTGATAATTTTTTGCAATTTTTCAAACGCCCCATCCAAATGGCGATCTTCCGTTTCAAAAGCCAAAGACGGAGTGGGGTGGACTGAAAAACATGCTACCCGTTTAGGTATATCCCTTCGAAGGGAGCAAAAATGGACATGGGTATATTGCAAGTATGGTATTCCGCCCCAATGAAATGCAAAATATGCAGCCCGTCCGTTATTTCCGCCATACACACGGATGGGGGGGGAGATCCCCATTGGGGGCACCTCAACTTGTGATTAACGCAGGGAACGGTACGAATGAAAAAGAGCTAAAAAAAACCCACTCGTACAGTGGTGAGGACGCGAATAAAAGAAGGCGCATCCGTAAAATTTCCTTAATAATCAGATCGGTGCACTTATGATGGGATGACCAAATATATGTAACTTGGCAGCGGTGTAGGGGAGGAAGCTAAAATGCGTAGGAATAAAGATGGTTCCTAATTCCGCCAAAGAGAGTGCCGAAGCTGACCCCGGCATTAGCCAAAAGGAGCAAGTTAATCAAATGGGCGCAACAATTATTTTGTATAAGCGTATTTATTATGTGCCTAATTTGGCTCTCCACTAATGGGCCGCTTAACTGGTCAGTCCCATGTGAGCATATCAGAAAAGTGCCATCATTCTGATACGTTAAGACGCAACTACAGTTGGACAATTTTTGGAGTATGTCCGTAATATATACAAACATGTCTTCATTACCAAATAGTGCAGTGTATTTTTTAAAATATAAATTTAACACATAATTTGAAAGGGCCCTCTCAACATCCTTTTCTAGACGTACGTAGGTTAAAATGTTTTTCACTGCTTCGTAACAGTTATCACTTCTGTCTTGGTATGTGCTTAAAAAATTCAGAATGCAAATCTTCTGGAAAAATAACGTAGCAATTTTCACTCCCCTTGGGGCTATTCTTCCCTTGGAATACACACTGTAGTAATTATTTATCTGTACAAAGAGCCACAGAAGGTGATTGACTGACCGTTGCCTATTAATATACGGTATTATATTCTCCAAATATTCGAACGTATCATTCACCATATGTTTGTACGCATAATGGAAAAGAAACTCGTCCAATTTTTTTATTTCTTTTAAGTTTAAGTTGAGTAAATTTGCCTGAACATGTTCATACACATTTGGGTTACTTTCGCGGAGGAAGGCGACGAATCGTTCGTTATTTTGGTGAAATGTTGTTATTCCATTTGGCGATACATTCGAGGTATTGCCATTGTGCTCGCCTCCCTGTAAAATCTTATGATCGCTACCTATACGTCTGTGCAAAGTTGACAGCAATATCGCGACTTTCTCTAAATTGAAATTGGCTCGGTTGAAAAAATCCTTGCTCGTGATGGCGCATTTATAAAGGTATCCCATGTAGGACAGCACGTAAATATTCCCAACATATTCACATATTAACTTGATGTAAGGGAGCAACACATTCGCGTCGCTTCTTTTGTCCAAATGATTTATAAAATAAAGGAGCATGTGTTGGAATTTTTTTTCTCCTTTCAAAATGGAAAGAAAGGTAGGCAAGTACTTCTTACAGGGTTCACATCCTACCGCAATGTACTCATTAATGCTGCTCAGGAATGTTAACTTTGGGGGGAAATGGAACATGCCTGTTTGGTCCCTTCCGCCGTGTTTGGGGATAGCTATATGGCTACTTCCAGCTCGATGCGTTAAATTTTTTGGCTCATTGACCGCGTTACCCGTGTTGCTCATTTTAGGCAGTGACGCGTCTGTGGGGGCCCCCCCGCTTGTCTCACCCACAGTTTGAGCCTTCTCGCAACTTTGATCGGTACCGCCACAGGAGGGTGGTTGCTTCACGCCGATGCAGTGGCTATCCGGATTACATACATCCGAGTAGTATGCACTCACCGCGTCTAATACCTGTACGCACTTGGACATATTTTTGGACCCTTCCTGTGGGTACATCCTCCTTCCGCATTGGTCATCCTGGTTGGCTTTCTTTAGCTTTTCCTCGATAAGGCTTAAGAGGTGGAACTTTAGGCGGTCCCCGTCTCCCATTTGGCAGTTGGCCTCCGTCTGTTCATCGACAGAGTCCCCCCCCCTGGCGACTACTTCCCCCACTTGCAAAAGCATAAACAGATTGCGGAGGGGTAACTGGGTCAGTAATGCAAAATTATCCCCTAGGAAGTTTGCCACCTGAGAGAAGTATTTCAGGCGGATCTCTTCCAAGAGGGTTACTTTTCGAATCCCAGAAAGGTGATAGAAGCATTTAATGAGGAGATCAAATTTGTTCAGGTCATGAAGAGACTCCTTTCTTATTTTCATAAGAGGAGAAGACTCTCCCTTTAAAATGAATTCCATGTTTTCCACCTTTAACGAATGCATAGACCTTTCGATCACTCTAACGCAGTGATCGAATAGCTCCCTATGATACAAATTGTACTTGCTCCATATGAATAATATTTCCTCAATCTCGTTTAGGAGCAGATGTTGTCTTCTCTTGTAAAACAGATGGGAGGTGTATCTTGTGAGTTCCTTCGCCAGGGTGCGAATTTTATGGTTTCCGTGATTGGTCATGTGGAGGGACGCGGAACACTCATCATGATCAGTATCATCGTAGTGATAATCATGTTCGTCTTTTCCAAAAGGGGGCTCAATCGAAGTGACCGTATCACACGAAGTGGCAGCATCGCGGGAAGCGACAGAGGCACCTTGACGCCCTGCTACCCCGGGCGATTCGCTAGCTACCCCATTTCCGTAGCTCCCCTCAAAGAAGACATAAAATAGGTGAATTAAAATCAGCTCACTTGTCTTGAAATTATAAATATTATTGACCACATGCTCGTTTATTTTTTCTAAATGCTCTACCTGGAGGCCGTGCAGGAGGAAACTGTGTAGGGTTAGCAGGACTTGCTGGGGGGTCAGCGTCTTTAAGGAATTCATCACATATGAATACACCTCCTTTGTGTTGCCTCTGCTTCCATGTTTGCTTCCATGTTTGCTTCCTCTTCTTGCTCCGTCATCGTGGTTAAGGACAACTTCGTGGTGGCTACGGACAACTTTATGGTGACTAGGACCAACGTCATGGTACCAATCGAGGAAGTGCTCATTCCTCAAATTGGAGATCAAATCATCGCTGTACTCACCAGGCGATTCAAACGACATGACTTTTCTTTTCCCCACTTTGTTAATGCTTACATTTTTGTAAAGGTAGGAAAATCCCAACTGGGTGATCTGCCCGTCGTCCTCGTGGGTATTGCCTTTTTCTCTATGCTCACTTGGAATGACATCCTTTATTAACCTAATGAGATGGTTGTTATTCTTTAGCTTCCTCTGTAACTCGCTATTGGTGAGGATGAAGCGGCAACGGCCCCCCTGTGAGAATTTCCTTCCTTTGGCAAATATCACCTGTCTTTTTAATTTCATTCGGGACAACATACTGTTTCATAGTTTGGGTGGTGCTCGCGTGTGTCTGTTTAATGACAAGGAGAATCCGTGACGTGGAGGTTGACATTGGAAGGATGCGTTCATGCGCGCTTTTATTCTTTTATTCTTTTTTCGTTTCTTCCTTCGGCGGGATAACGGCTAAGGGGAGGGCTCCTGTCCCTCGTCAGCAGTTGCACAAATTAAGATTTCTATCACCCCGCACGAACATTTGCACGTGCATATTAACTGACAGCATAAAGCATATAGCACGTGTAGCAGCACATATAGCGGCACATATAGAAGCACATATATATGTGGGGAAAAGCCCGTTGGGTGGTGTCCCCCCCAGTAGAATTGCTTCACCAGGATAAATCTCAACCTGATCCCAAATTAGAAGGGCCATGGGACGAGTAAGGCCGGTAAAAGAACGCACCTCAAGAAGTGCTCAACTGGGGCGTGGGAAATTCG